TTCCTAACCCCACCGGGTAAACTAGTTGTGAGAATCAAGCATAGGGTCCCTTGCTCTCTCCCTCCCCCTCTGGAAACTTTTCCCTGGCTAACCTAGCATTTCACAAATGCGAGCCAACTGCATTGGGACAGTGATATTTATTCACATTGCCTTAACTAAAGATAGTCGCGGAGGTCATTCAGCGCAACAACATCCAATCAGACAGCTACTTCCCTGACGACATCTACGGAGGCCTCAAATGAACAAGAGCTCCTCTTACCCTCCCTTCCCTCTACAAAGCGGATGCCAAAACAGCACAGCCTCTATGCAATAGGTGTAGTAGTGGGAAAGCTCCATACCGAAGAATTGGTGAACAGCCCCTATTCTGTCCATCCTCCACTGGAACCTCTCTATACATTAGGCACACTCTCTGTGACTAGTGGGTTCCTGTCCCTGTCCTAACCACACGCAACTGTAGGGAGATAGTGTTTTTTATAAGTACTACCTTGCTAAAGCTGGCCATACATGTGTATATTTTGGGACGAGAATATTTGTACGAAAATTCGTACAAAAATTCTTTGAACATTCGGTGAATGGACAAATGTCGTTCTTTTGCTTTTAACATTTGCATTTAAAATGAAAGTAATTTCTGAACGATAACCACATATACTGGCCAAAAATTTGTTTGATTGAGAAAAGTTTTCCTTCCTGTCCCTTCAAATTTTCCCGTCACTGCGGTCGAAACAAAAATCAATTTGACCCCACTAACGATTAGAAAATCAAAAGAATGTTCTTGAAATGTAAATCTATATGTGTATGGCCAGCTTAAAGATGGCTGTGGAGTCCTCCAAGGCAGCAGCAGCATCCAATCAAACAGCTCATCTGATGACCCCTATGGAGGACTAAGAGGAGTGTAAGTTTTTCCAGTTCTCCACTCTTCCTGTATGGTGGTGCTGTCAGCGCCACCTGTGCCAGGAGGCCAAACTACACCTGCCAGCAAGCTTCTCTGCACAGGCACCATTCAAAGAATGCTTTGCATTTTCTCAAAAAGCATTCTCTGATTGGACTAGATGGAGATTGTGACATCACTGCCTCTCCACCTCATCAAATCAGAGAACACTTTGGATACATTGAGAAAATGCAAAGCAATCTCTGAATGGCACCCCTGCCAAGTGAGCAGCTGCCCTACTGCATTGTAAACACAGGGTCTACCTCGGGACCCAGTGCATACTACAGTGATTTACGGCTTCCAGAGGGATCGGCAAGGTATAAACATAGTTACTTTTGTCCAAGCCTGACCAATGTAGCTATGTAAATAACATCCATACCTGGAATTCTTCTTTAATATGTTGATGAAACAATAGGGCTCATAATAAGAGCTAGAGGAAAGAATCCTGATGGTGTTAGCCATAGAAATTATATTCCTTTTTATCTTTTCCTTGAAAATAAAAGAAAAACTCTGTTGTCTGTTGAAGGAAATAATTCAATTCTTTATTTTCTATACTCATTATAACAAATCTATAGTGTAATGTAGAAGCTGCAGACAAGAGCTTTAATATTCTGCTGTCATGTAGGAAGATGTGTTTTATTGGCCTTCAGTGGCTGTTAACTGCTTACAATCCCTCTCCCATATCTGAGTTCATGGGTTTTATACACACCCCTAGGGTATGAGCACAGTACACTTATCGTCACAGCCGGGAATATTTTAACCAAGCTGACCCAAGCATGCGTTAAACATGACAACTTAAGTTGCAATCGAATTTATTATGGGAACGATCAATATGATATAGATGTTGGCCTTTAAAGACATCATATTTGAATTATATGGGTTTCCACCCTTAAAGTGAGGCTGTCATTAAAATCCATAGATTACGGAAATAGTGTGTTTCGGTAAGGCTGACATGTGCTCTAATTTAAGCAAACATGTACCTCCTTTGCTTGGCTTAAAAGTTAAGCACACTAGATCACACAGTAATCCTTGTGGTTGCTTTGCACCAATAAAGACTGCAGAGAATGTTCTACTTTCAGACAGACTGATACACTTTCTGTGAGATGAAAGCAAAAGTAAGCACAACCAAAAAATAGATCAGATAGGCACTGAATATACTGTATTTGGCTGCCCAAATGGGACTAAAAATAATGCCATAGCTCTTAAGCTTTACCATTTACATGGATATCTCACTGACATGTCCATCTAAAATGCATAAAAAATTCTTTAGGTCCTCACAAATTAAACCTTGTGGTTTATGTACAGTACCATGAAAGCAACCACCCTTATTCCAAATGCCATGTTTTCTCTTTTAATGTAACACTGATGTGAGGCTGTTGCAAATGGAAGAAAAGGAGCATACCTATAATATGTTGGGTTCTGATCCCAGATAATATCATTACAGGCCTTGTCTGATTACATATTGGCGGTTCACTTGGATGGCAACCATTTCCAATCTTCTATCTCTCCTAGAGGCATGGGCATCTCTGCCACGATGTACTCCTACCCGCTTACCCTCAATGTGCCACATTGACATTAACTTGAAAAGACTTTTTAAAATAAGCCATAGAGTTGTTCCATCTATCTTGAGTTTCCTCTTTATTCAAAAGCTTACTATGAGGCTTCCAGCTACGTTACTGGCGCCCAGGCATGATGCACTGAACCAGACATAATTGCGTGGATTTTTGGTGCTACAATATACATCTTCAAGGTTCATTGAGGCTTCAAGGTTCACTGAAGGCTATTCTAACATCTAAAGCTCACCACATACTGTATGTTACAACCTGATTATACAATCTGCCAACAAATACACAGTGCAGGGGCCTGCATACCTAACTGTGGTATAACAGCTTTTATCCAATTAAAGTAGTAATCAGGGTCCATTCACAAGGCCATGTCTGCTCCATTCATCAGGGAATCTGTGAACACTTTTGGAACGTCTGTGCCCGTTAATTTTTTTTTGTCTGCATTTGGACAATGGATATTGACAGACCTGGATATGGGCACACAGATGTACATAGAATTACATCCCCTTACATCAGGCTACTTCTGATCCGTCACGTTTAGGTACATTTTTTGCCCAGACCTGGACAGACTCAAAGGTAGGTGTGTAAGCAGGTGCAGGTTGACCTCGCTACACAGATAGCACTGTTGTACCACCCTGCAGAGAGAGTGGAGGACAGGAAGAATACCCATACATCTTAGGTCTCCATACGCGTCACTGGGTGGACTCTGCCACACAGGTGACCCCTGCAGCTATCTTTCATGAAGGCAGTGCTTATAAAAAGCATTGTCCCAATGCTTTTGGCACGCATTCCGCTTGTGGTTAGGTTAGGGACAGGAATCCACTTGACAAGGAGAGTGTGCCTAGCATAGGGAGAGGTTTCAGAGGAGGAGGGACAGTATAGGGACTGTCATCAGTGCTTGACAGGGGAACATTTCCACTATCAGTTCTTTTGTGCTGCTGAGAACTTTTAAAAACTTGAAAGAAAAAAAACAAACTTTAAAACCACTTGGAAAAGCTTGATAGAAACAGAAACACTGCTCTACAAACGCTCTGCCATTTTTGAAGAACTTATTTTTAGAAGAAGCCTTTCGCCAAAGAAGAAACTTTCTGCTGCTGATCCCAATTTTTGCCCCTGGCTGACGAGAGACATTTTTTTTTTTTTACTAACTGCAATCCCACCAGAAGACCTCAGAAAACGTATTTCTGGGAGTGGTGAGAACTGTATCAGAATATCACAACTCTTTATATATTTAAAACTGAATAGAGCTTTAATCATATTTTATTGTGTTGGTTAGAGTAATATTGTGCATATCTATATAATTTGCATGGTGTACGGAGATTAATTGACCAATAATTGTTCTAACTTTTTGGGTACTGATATCATATTGTGTGCTAACATATTTGAAGTGTTTTGCTGTGCATTTTATTAGGAATACTTTCTTAATCCCCTTCAGCCGTGGGAATTGGAAATTATATCTTGAGCACTAACCATTTAGTATTAACCACTAAGAACGGCTTTAACATTGTGGTGATATGCATATATTGTGTTTTAATTTCATATTTGATTTTGTGTAAGGAAATACTCATCACCAGTAGTTTCCTTTGTATTAATATATACCGTGTTTGCCGGCATATAAGACGACTGGGTGTATAAGACGACCCCCTACTTTTCCTGTTAAAATATAGGGTTTGAGCTATACTCGCCGTATAAGACTACCCCTCTTCCAACGCACACCAAATAAAAATGAAAAAACATCAGATTTGATTTCAATATGGTATGCTATTTCAGTATGGTATTCCAGTGATGGGGTGCTATTCCTCCCACTGACACCAATGATGGGGCATGATTCCTCCCACTGATACCAATGATGAGGCACTACTCCTCCCACTGATGCCAATGATGGGGCACTATTCCTCCCACTGATGCCAATGATGAGGCACTACTCCTCCCACTGACACTAATGATGGGGCACTATTTCATCCACTGACACCAATGATGGGGCACTATTCCTCCCACTGATACCAATGATGGGGCACTATTCCTCCCACTGATGCCAATGATGGGGCACTATTCCTCCCACTGATACCAATGATGGGACACTATTCCTCCCACTGACACCAATGATGGTGCCCCATCATTAGTGTCAGTGTGTGAGGAATAGTGTCCCATCATTAGTGTCAGTGGGAGAAATAGTGTCCCATCATTAGTGTCAGTGGGAGGAATAGCGTGCCCCCCATCATTGTTATCAGTGGGAGGAATAGCGCCCCATCATTGGTATCAGTGGAAGGAATAGTGCCCCATCATTGGTGTCAGTGGGGAGGAGGAATAGTGCCCCATCGTTGGTGTCAGTGGGAGGAATAGTGCTCCATCATTAGTATCAGTGGCAGGAATTGCGCCCCATCATTGGTGTCAGTGGGAGGAATAGTGCCCCATCACTGGTATCAGTGGGAGGAATAGCGCCCCATCATTGGTATCAGTGGAAGGAATAGTGCCCCATCATTGGTGTCAGTGTGGAGGAGGAATAGTGCCCCATCGTTGGTGTCAGTGGGGGAGGAATAGTGCCCCATCATTGGTGTCAGTGGGGGAGGAATAGTGCCCCATCATTGGTGTCAGTGTGGAGAACAGTGCCCCATCATTGGTGTCAGTGGGGGAGGAATAGTGCCCCATCGTTGGTGTCAGTGGGGGAGGAACAGTGCATCATCGTTGGGGCACTATTCCTCCTCCACACTGACACCAACGATGAGGCACTGTTCCTCCCCCACTGACACCAACGATGGGGCACTATTCCTCCCCCACTGACACCAATGATGGGGCACTGTTCTCCCCACTGACACCAATGATGGGGCACTATTCCTCCCCCACTGACACCAATGATGGGGCACTATTCCTCCTCCACACTGACACCATCATTAGTGTCAGTGGGGGAGAGGAGCGGCTGCTCCTTCTTTCAGTTCGGCCGCTTGATTTTCGCGGGGCCGTTCGGCTCTGCCTCCTCGCCGGTGATTGGTCGCCTGTGTGCCTTTCCAGTGCTGGCGCCCAATCACCGGTGAGGAGGCGGAGCCGAGCGGGCGGTGGGACCATCGAGCGGCCGAACTGAAAGAAGGAGCAGCCGCACTTCCTGGACCGGATCGTCGTGGGACCCGGGACCGGAGCCAGGTAAGGTACAGCAGCCCCTCTGCCCACCCCTGTACTTAGTGTCCTTTGGAGGAGGAGGGGGGGCGGCACCGCCCCTTGAAAAAGTGCCGCCCTGACACCGGCTTGCCGTATACCGGCGTATAAGACGACCCCCGACTTTTCAAAAGATTTTCACGGGTTGAAAAGTCGTCTTATACGCCGGCAAATACGGTATATAAATATTTGTACATAAATAATTTATCAAATTGGCAAAATTTCTGTATATGGTAAGAAATCACATTGGTGAAAAGAACTCAAGGAATTATAGCGTGGTGATAAATTGTGTCCATATTATTGGATTATTATTTGCCGTATTTAATGGCTGGAGGCACTGCATTATATTGTTTACGGGAGTCGGACACCGCCCAACTTATTTAGAATTAATTATCTCTAAAACCACCACACTGTTTACCAATGCTACTGCTTATTGCTGATGTTGAGGGTAACTAGGTTTACTGTAGTCTAGTGATACAGAGCTCTACTCTAAGCTGCTATAACATTAGTTATAGAGAATTAGGTTAATCACAGCTCGCTAGACAATGTAATCACTATTTGTTCATTTATGGATATTCTGCCATTTACTTCAACCCATGGCAATATATTAAAGTGTTACTAAACCCACAACAGTAAAATCACTCTGTATATGCAGTAAAGCATGCTTGTTATACTAAATTGTGGAACCTAAGGGGTTAATCCTTTGCATTGTGTAAAAAGACTGTTTGATCCTGACTTATCTGATCCACCCCTTCTTCCAGTGCCCTCCTCTTATCTCCCGATAAGACATGTCGTGTGAAGTCACGCTGCATATGCTCAGTTCCGTGTGTATTCCAAAAAAGTTTTTTTTTTCTTTGAAGAGTGCATCAGCACAGGACCAAACAGCACTGTCCAGACAGAGGGTCAGGGGTTCTTCATCCTCCTAGAGCAGAATGAAAACTCCTCCTACAAGCTTTAACATGTACCCTGCTGGGCACTGATAGAAGTCACAAAACTGCTCAAACTGCTGATGAGAAAAGGTATTTAGCAAGAAAATAAAATAATTGCATTTCCATGTTGTGTGTACTGTAGGAGACCGGATATAGGGAATGCAGGGTCCTAGGTTTAGGAACACCTTACGTTTCTTTATCACTAACCAGTCTGGTGTTTGCTTTCTGATACGGAAATGTTGTGTGCAAAATATTTATATTTGTTCTCCCAATAGTATTGCAGTATCCATTTGCTTAACCTGGTGTGTCAGAGGGGCTGTGGTTATTTACAGAGTCGAGGCAAAAAAACAGAGAACCCAATCTACCAAGCGGCTCCTGCAAGGGTAGCACTACATCTGTGCTCTCTAAATCTAAGAAAACAAGATCTTGGCTTTACATAGTCTACATTTTAGGCAATCATTTAATATACATATAGTTTGGTGTTAACACAGCAGGGCAGCAGCTTGCTATAGAAATGTAAACCAGGCAGATACACCAAGAAAAAAGGTGGCCTTGTATCCACTAATAAGTACACTTTTATAATGAAATATAAAACATCATTATGCTGTACCCATAGCTCATTCATTAGGCGCTTTCAATTCCAGCAGCTCTACAATTATTTAGTACATATTATAGTTACATAGTTTATAGGGATAAAAAAAGACAGGTCCATAAAGTGCAAATTATGAACAGATCAGAAAACAAAATGAGCCGCATGGGAGATGTGCTTTTTCAGGTGGTTTAAGAACATCAGCATTCCTTACACCTCTTTAGTTGTGCTACCTGCTAGTCAGATAAAGTTCCCTATGCAGAAAGCCCAATATCTACTGTAGGCTATATCCAGAAACAGAAGAAAAGTTGAACTGGCAGTACCCCAAAATGATTAGAGCTGTCAAAGGACAAGAAGAAAAAAGCAAGAGGTTATACTAGATAACTTGCTTGATATATATGTGGAAATAATAAATGAGCTTAGGTGGTTTAAAAAGCATATTAACACATACATAGGTTGTTATTATGATATTAATAAAATTAAATAAAATGTGATTGTATTAAATTAAAAAAAAAGACTATCTATAGTGGTGCACCAAAATGAAAATTCTGGTGCTGAAACCGAAACCAAAAATTCAGGATGCACTTGGCCGAAAACTGAAACCGAAATGGAAAGTTTTTAAAAATTAATATATTTTTTAAATTTTTTGGAAAAAAATGCACTTTAATGACTTAAAAAAAAACACATAATAAAACCGTAATTTTTAAAAAAATATGAACGATGAAGTAAATAGACACCCAACATGTCATGCTTTAAAATTGTGCATTCTCGTGGATTAGCGTCAAACTACGGTACGTAAAAATCTCCATGGGTGAAGCTTTAAACATTTCTGTAGGTTACCAGTTTAAAGTTACAGAGAAGGTCTAGTGCTAGAATTATTGCTCTTGCTTTGGCGTTCATGGCGATACCTCACATGTGTGGTTTGAACACCGTTAACATATGTGGGCGTGACCTAGGGTTATTTTCGGCACCTGTATCGGTGCTTATTTTCATATTTGCCAAAGGCTCTGTGCTGCAGAGGGCACTTTTACACAGGCACACATACAGGTGAAACATACACTATATTACCAAAAATATTGGGCCAGTCAAATCAAAAGATTGCAGGTTCCAATCACCTCCATGGCCACAGGTGTATAAAATCAGGCAGCTGGGCATGCAGACTGCTTCTACAAACATTTGTGAAAGAATGGGGAGCTCAGTTAATTCAAGCATGATACCGTGATAGGTTGCCACCTGTGCAATATAGCCATCCATGAAAATTTCCTTGCTACTAAATATTCCACGGTCAACTGTTAGTGGTATTATAACAAAGTGGAAGCAACTGGGAACAACAGCAACTCAGCACAAAGTGGTAGGCCACGTAAAATGACAAAGCCGGATTAGCGCATGCTGAAGCACACAGTATGCAGAAGTCACCATCTGTCTGCAGAGTCAATAACAGAGAGAAGGGGATAGGAAATGTAAACTACTGAAGAAGCTATTATATCAATGCCAACTGACAGATACCTGGAGAGTGAAACATCCAAGAGACTATACCTTCTTGTCTTCCATCCATGGTTCATATTCAAGACTGGACTATATAATGATCGAGCATAGACAATTGGAGTCATTGGTTAGCTCCAACATAGAGATTATGCCCATCTCTGATCATGCTCCTGTCACAATGAGACTATGGGTAGGAGAAGATCAGGATAACATAACTTTGTGGAGACTAAATTAGATGCTTATACAGGATCCTGAAATAGAGAAAAGGTTAAGACTGGAAATTGAGCAATTTTTTTTAGCTCAATGAGACCGAGGATGTCTTGGTAGCCAAAATTTGGGAGGCACATAAAGCATATCAGGGGAATACTGATCTCGATAGGCGCATAGAAAAAAAGAAAGAACGAGGGAAAAAAATTAAAATGGTGATGGAGGAGCTCTATAAGTTAGAATAGTCACATAAAAAGAAGATAGGTACAGTCGTATATAAGAAGATAATTTTTAAAAGAGAAGAACTAAAAGATCTTATGGAACAAGAGTCGAGAAGGATACTCGACAGGATTTAAAAAAAAATATATCAATGGGGGAATAGACCTGGAAAATATTTAATGAGGTGGTAAAAAAAAAAGAAAAACTTTATAGAAAAATTAGAGATGGAAGAGGAGAAATGGTGTACACCACCACTGATATCACCAACAGGTTCCAAAAATATTACAGCAGACTGTATGATGTGAGCCCCAGAAATCAAAAAGAAACGGAAGAGAAATAGGCAGACATACTTAAATGAGGTGGAGATGCCAAGAATAACAGAAGCTAAATTAGAAGCCTTAGAGAGAACTATCATCCCGGAGGAAATCACCTTGGCCCTAAAGAATACGGCCGCAGGAAAGAGCCCTGGCCCAGACGGATACACTGTGGGATATTTTAAGATGTTTAGAGATCTCCTTGTCCCTAAAATGTGCGGCTATGTAAATGCAATAGGGGAGGGGTTGTAAATGAGGGAGGAGTCATTGCAAGCTTACATAATGATCATACTTAAAGAAGGGAAAGATAGCTCATAGTGTGCCAGTTATAGGTCTATATCGTTATTAAATATTGATACAAAATGATATGCTAAGGTATTGGTAACTAGACTGAAGGAACTGATGCCGGAGTGCATATATCTGGATCAGGTGGGGTTAATTCCTGGAAGAGAAGGCAGGCACAATGGCTTGAGATCATTGCTCCTCTTACAAAGAGTAAAGAGAGAAACTGCCGATAATATTTCAGTCGACTGATCCCAAAAAGGTTTTCGACAGGGTTAACTGGGGGTTCATGTTTGACACGCTAGAAGCCATAGTATTAAAAAATGTTAAAGTGGATAAAAGGGCTTTAGAACAGGCCATTAGTGGCAGTTAAGGTTAACAGATCCCTTTCCAGGTTCTTTAAAATGCATAATGGTACTAGACTAGGATGCCCACTTTCTCCTCTTATTTGTATTATCCCTGGAACCCACACTGGCGAGGGTATGAAAGTGTGTCGATATAGCAGGAATAAAGATAGGGGAAGTGGAGCATAAGGTGGCAGCATATGCAGATGATATGTTATTCTATATTGTAATTCCCAGAATAACGTTGCCTAACGTAATGAGACTATTAAAACAATATGGTGAGCCATCTTATCTGATAATAAATCCCACAAAGTCAGTGATTCTAAATATTAATATCCCAAAGCTAGAGAAGCTGAGATTAGATAAAGATTTCCCATTCACTTGGAGGG